CTACGTCAAGTGCGAAAATGGACAATATCGGTCCACTCCATCAAGTACCTACCCCACAAAGGGTCAATATTTTGAATAATTACAACTTTTATAAAATGTAATGTCAGAGTCCGATTGTCTTTAAATTTCACCCATCCCAATATTTTTATCAACTCAAGGTCTGGTGATAAGATGGAATATATCGGTCCACTGCTTCTGGTACCTCCTCCACAAAAGGTCGACATTTTCAAAAAATATATTTTCTGCACAGAAGTTCGATTTTGCTCGAACTTTCCAAGTCCTTATATTTGCGTCAGTGCTAGGTCAGGCGCGATAAAGAACAATATCGGTACACTACATCAAGTGCCTCCCCCACAAAGGGTCAAAATTTTGAATAATTACAACTCTTATAAAATGTGATATAACAGTCCAATTGTCTTCAAATTTCAAACACCCCAATATTTTTATAACCCAAAGGTCTGGTGTTAAGATGGAATATATCGGTCTACTTTTTCTAGTACCTCCCCCATAAAAGACCGATTATATCCAATTTTATGCGAAATCATTTCCGTATTCACCCCAGATCTTCAGATCTTGCGTTAGCTTAAACGTTTGTATGTTTGGAATTTGTGGAGAGTTGGATGCGTATTTCGCCTTCATTGAGCATTTTTTTCTCCAAAATCTTGAAGCCTTTGTGAGGAAGGTGCCAAAAAGAATGGTCCGATCTATACCATGTTTATAAAAAATCTTGTGTTGATAGAAATATTGAGATGTTCCAAGTCTGAATGGAATCAGATGTTAATTTCGCGTTTTATGAGCTTCATTTATTTTCAAAATGTTGACCCTTTGTGGGGGAGGTATTTAATGCACTGGGCTGATATTGTCAATTTTCGCGGGATCATCTAAAGATTAGGATTTTCAATGTTGGTGCAGTACAAAAATTTTGTTTTGGAAATTTCGATCTTTTATGGGTGTGGTATCAGAAGGAGTGAAGTGCCCATCCCCGAAGTCGATCAAAGTTAGATGAAAATATTACGAGGTACCAAGTTTGGACAAAATCAGACTCTCATAGAGAGTTATCGTGTGCACCAGTCAGACAGACGGATGGGCGGACGGACATCGCTAGATCGACTCCAAATATCCTGAAACGAATTTTATTCAAAGAGACAGAGGGTCTGAAACCGTTATTTCGACTAGATATGTTTTCACCGTATCAAATTATATATACCCTCTCTAGCCACATGGCTGAGGGTATAAAAATGGGATGTGTGAAATATGAAGAGAACCGGATGTTTATTTTGGATTTTATAATCGTTTTGGTTATTTAAAACATTGACTCTTTGTTGGGGAGGTATCAGAAGGAATGGTTTGATCTCTAGCATCTTTGTAACAGATCTTGTGCTGAAAATTATTATAATGAGATGTGCTAAGTCAGAATGTTAATTTCACGTTTTATGAGCTTCATGAATACTCAAAATTTTTACCCTTTGTGGGGAAGGTATCAGAAAGGGTGGACCGGTGTATTCCATCTTCACACCAGACCTTGGGTTAATAAAAATATTTTGGTGTGTGTAAATTTAAGACAATCGGACTCTCATTTTAGAAGAGTTATAATTATTAAAAATGTTGACATTTTGTAGGGGAGGTACTTGATGTATTGGACCGATACTGTCCATGAAGTGAACCGATACTGATCTAGCACTGATGCAAATATTTGGATGTGCAAAGCTGGAGCAAAATAGGATGATCCTTTCTCTTTCTATGGGGTAAGTTATTTTCTATGAAAATGTTGACCTTTTGTGGGGGAGGTACCAAAAGAAGTAGACCGATATTGCCCATCTCCGATGAGGCAAACGCCATAATTTTTACATTTTTTTTTAATTTTATTGAATGAAAGCAAAAAATGTCGGAAATAGCATCAAATATTAGCATCACGCTGCCCAAACGTTGCTCTGCTGTATTTTGGCCCATTCCCGGTGAAGCGCTTGCTTGAGTATTTTTTAGTGCCAACCATGCTTTCCAAAATACTCCAGACACAATAGTTCAACGGATTGATATCCGGAGATTTGTAACCATTCTCGGGTGTCGGGTGCTGAGTGCGATGGTGCTGAGTCCTGTTGTTATGTCCAAGGTCTGAGGCGAAAATGTTTGCGTGGCTTTAATACACCCTTCAGAATATTTTCGCGATAATATTCGGTATTTATTTTGATGCCATGGTCGATTAATACGAGCGGAGAGCGACCATGGGCTGTTATGGCGGCCCACACCATCACCATGGCCGGCGCTTGAGTTCTGGTGGCCAACCGAAGGTACACATTTTCAGCTGACCTCTTTGGCAAGTAAACACGATCGGGGTGTTATGTGTAGGTACTTGATGTAGTGGACCGTTATTGTTCATTTTTTGCACTAGATCTCTTGTTAGTAAAAATATTGAGGTGCGAAAACTTAATGACCAACGGACCCTTATTTCAGATTTTATGAGAGTTATAAAGTTAACCCTTTGGGGGAGAGTTACGTGATGTGTGTTAGAATTTGCAAAATTCACATATTATTGGATGATCCTTCCTTCTTTTGCTAGGAAAATTATTGGATATGAAAATTTTCAAGTTTTGTGGGGGAGGTACCAAAAGGAGTGGACCGATATAGCCCATCTCCGAACTCGATCTAAATTTGAAAAAAAATATAACGATGTACCAAGTTTGGACCAAATCAAATACTCCCTTCGAAAGTTATCTTGCGCCAGCCAGCCAGAAAGACAGATGGACACCCCTAGATCGACTCCAAATGTCCTGAAATGGATTTGGTCCAAAGAGACCTAAGGTCTAAAACCTATATTCCGATTAGGCACATTTTGGCCGTATTAAATATTATACAACCTCTAGAGCTATATTACTGAGGTGATAAAAAATTGTATTCGGGTGATTTCTATGTCCTACTTTGGAAATTATTCCCGCCCTGCCGAACTTAAATGTGACCTTACTATATTGGTTCGCATTGCATTTCAGATGAGTTGTATCCAACAACCAATTTTGATTTTTTATAACTGCAAAGTATGCTACGTTTAAATATTTCAAGGGTATATAATTATGGCTATTTCTGCCGCAGGCTCTTCCTTGCATGGGGATATTTTGAGACATTCATATGATGTTTACATTTGAGGATATTATATCCTTCCTATAATAATCCTTGATAATTATGTCACTAGATGTCACTACATCTTCAGTTATGGCAATTTTTATCTGCTGTGTATAACAGTTAGGCAAAAATCACCAATGAGGTAAAGGAAACAATATGAGGTCCTTTAAACTTCCGTCTGCAACATGTTGTCTGTTATGTTGCAACAGATGTCTCTCAACCTTATGAGAGCAATTATGATGTCTTTTATGCTTAATGTGTCATCGTGGGGTCTCCTATGTTGCCAAACATGAGTCTGTCTCTCTTCCTCTAACTGTGTTTCTTCTCTTTTAAAGAAAAAAAGTGCCATGTTCAAGGAGTTATGTTGCCTATCCTGTTTGTGTTCGTTGTTGTGTCGTCTATTATTATTATCATTTTTGTTGTAAAGCCATAGGACTTGAATGCCAACATTTTCCTTAAGGCATGACTTCATACGCACCACCACGACCGCCAATGTTTTTGGGAAAAAAAGGATATCTGTTTTGTTTGTTTTTGTTTTCCTTCCTACTTTGTTTGTTTTTGTTGTGCTGGCAAGCATTTCATGTTGCCAACATTTCATTCATTCATGTATTGTGCGTGTGATTTCATTCTGCTTTGCAGGCCGCCTCAACTCCACGGGAACATTTTCGGCAACAGCAGCAGCAGCAACAACATTTAAGCTTTAAACGAATTTGTAAAATTGCTCAGTCGAAATTTCACCATCGCAGAGATTCGTACGCAATGTCAAGTATCCTTCGGAAGAACTGCTACGCCTGTTAGCTAGAAGACAGTGGAAGGACACGCATCGGCTATTAGCGAAATAATAATAATTGAGTAGTTACAGAGATTCAATACGATTCGAGTCCCTTTTTCGAATGCTTTTGCTGCATCGTGTCGGAAATATAACTTCGTATAATTTTTAGAGGCTGCAAAATTGGCATCTCTCCTCTAAGAAAAAAAAAACGCAATAAACAAATACAACGAAGAACTGAGACGAGTTGAGTCCTCGTCGAAAAGGACAAGTACCATTTGCCGGTGGTGTTGATAGATTCAGTTGCAATCTAACAACGGAACGGTTTAATACAAAATACGGATTTTGAGACAAACGGAAGAATGCCAAAAATGTTTGGGAATTTTGAAAAAAATGCGTTGAAAATTTAAAAATATTGAAAAAAAATTGAAAAAAATATTGAAAAAATATTTAAAAAAAAATAGAAATTTTGTAAAAAAAAGTAAAAATTTTGGTGATTGAAACCCAAATCCTTACAAAGGAATCATGTTGTGTCCCACTGCCATAAATGTGTGATGACAGCACTCAACTCTAGGCGAGTTGCGAATGGATGTCTGTGCTAGCATGTGTGTGTTTTCCAAATACAATTTTTTTGTTTGGCATGAATATCCTGTGTCTATTCGAAAATAAAATGCCAAACGGGGTATAGGAAGCGGAGGGTGTAATTTTGGCAATTGTGAAATAGTGTATAGTGATGTCATGGTCATAAAAGTTATGTGTGAGTGTTCGGAACAACAACAACAACAAACACAAATCCAAACGAATCCTTCAAAAGCCAATTAAGAAGCAAATAAAAATAAAATTTCCCATAGCAAAAATAATAAAATAAAATAATAAAAATATTTGACATCAACAAACTGATAGCTTAAATCCAACGAGAAAAAAATTCTGAGAATCATTTTCAAAAAAATTAAAAAAAAAAAAAATATTGAAAAAATAATCCCCGAAAAAGCCCCACTGAAAAGATTGTGAAGAGTGTCGGTCATCATATCCCATTTGTTAGGCTTACAAATTTTTGTTACTCGTTTCCATTTTTTTTGCCTTTCACACAATTTCAATATTCATTTGGAAAAAAAAATTGAAAAAAAATTGGAAAAAAAAATAACGAAACAACAACAAATTTACTACATGGTGGCCATATTTGAATGGACCCATTCCGCCTGCTGGTCCATAGTCATCGTCACAGTTTATTAACGTTAAAACATAAAGCCAACAACAAACAGTAATAAAAATTCTGGCCCAGCAACTGTCAATAAACCAAACAACAACAAAAACCAAAATAACAATAACAGAAGTGCCAGCAGCAGCCTCAGCATCAGTCACATCAAGGATTATTGGCAAAGTGTAAAACAAAAAAATCACAAAAACCCCCCTTTAAAAAAGGCTTAACGGCCCACAGCGAACCCATCAACCGAAAAAACTAACAACCACTGCAAAGAAATCACCAACATTCAAGCCAAATAATATTTGTCACCATTATTCGAATTTTTTTCTTTGGCAAAAAAACCAAAGACTTTTTTTGGTTTTGTTACAACATTGTCCATAACAACCAACAGCAGGAGTAGCGGGCCGTAGCAGCAGCATCAACTCATTCAGCGGAATCAGCGTTGCAGACTCTAACCATGGATTTATTAACGTTTTTATTGTATTTCCTCTTTACACAGAATGGTAGGAGAAAAATCCCTCTTCTTTTTTGGAAAAACTTGATACGCATAAAATTATTTTTTAAGTTTTAAATTCAAGAATAACGGTTATAATGCACATGCAAAGGGAAGTTTTTATGGTTAACAGAATAGCAAAAAAAAAAAAAAACAAAAAAAAAAAAAATCAACCAGTAAAAAACTGTAAGTTCGACCGGGCCGAACTTTGAATACCATCCACCAGTTGGTACAAATTTGGCAATTTTCAAAAAATTAAAATCCATTAAAAATTCTGTTAAAATCTTAAAAATACCAAATGTAGCCGTATATTAGGGTCTATACAATGACGTGGACCTGCATACGTAACTTTTGTCATAAGCCTGCAAAGACAATTTTCTGGCATAGGCTGTAATATCCATTACGAACTTCAAATGCGAAATTTGAAACAATTCCGGTAAATAATGTCGCTAAAATCATCAAAATACCGAATATCGGGAGGTACCGTTATATGGGGGCTATAGGAAGACGTGGGCCTGGATACAAAAATGTTTGTCATAGGCTGTAGTACCCGTTACAAACTACAAATACGAAATTTGAAAAGATTCCGGTAAATAATGTCGTTTCAATCGCTAAAAAAATACCGAATATCGGGGGGTACCGTTATATGGGGGCTATACGAAGACGTGGTCCTGCACAGACGTTTTTTCTGTCATAGGCTGTAGTATTCATTTTGAACTTCAAATACTAATTCTACCCTACACCACAAGGTGGTCAGGGTATTATGTATTTGTGCATTTGTTTGTAACAGGCAAAAGGAAAGGAGATAGACCCATAGTTCCGTTTGATGATCTGGATAGAATCGCATTCTGAGTCGATTTATGCATGTCCGTCAGTCCGTCTGTCTGTCCGTCCGTCTGTCCATGTATTTTTGTAAACAAAGTACAGTTCGCATTTATTGCCCGATCCAGATGAAATTTTGCACAAATCATTTGTTTGGCCCAAGGATGATCCCTATTGACATTGGAGATAATTGGTAAAAATTTAGATATAGCTCCCCTATATATCTTCGTCCGATTTGCTTTTTATTGTGCACCAAACGTGTAATATCAGCCCGAATAGTATGGAATTTTGCACATACAACCAAATTAGGCCTGAAAATAAGTACGCCAAATTTGATCGAAATCGGTTCAGATATAGCTATAGCTCCCATATATATTGTTCATCCGATTTGTTATTTTTGTACTCCGCAGCCGTAATATGCACTCTGTAACAACAATATTTGGGGAAATATATCAAATACAGCTCAGAAATTCATTTGCTAAATTTTATCGAGATTGGTTCAGATTTGGATATAGCTCCCATATATAACTTCGTCCGATTTACCTCCTATTGTGCACCAAACGTCTAATATTTGCCCAAATGGGATGGAATTTGGCACATGCGACCGAATTGAGTCTAGAAGCTAGTATGTCAAATTTGGTGAAGATCGGTTCAGATATAGCTATAGCTCCCATATATACTGTTCATCCGATTTGTTATATTTGTTACCCACAGCCGTAATATGCACTCCGTAACAACGATAATCAGGGAAATATATCAAATACAGCTCAGAAATATATTTGCCAAATTTTTTCGAGATCGGTTCAGATTTGGATATAGCTTCCATATATATCTTTATCTGATTTCAAATTAATTTTGCACCAATTGGGCAATACAATTCCGAATTTAAAAGATACAAATGCATCGGCATATTTAGTCCTTTTTTTAATTGTTATGTGAAGCTCTACTAAATTAGCAAAGTGGTGTAGGGTATCATAAAGTTGGCCCCGCCCGACTTTAGGACTTTCTTTACTGGTTTTAAAATAGTTCCGGTAAATAATGTGGGGCTATACGAAGATGTGGACCTACATGGCCCATTTTCAATACCAAAAGTCCTGCAAACATAGTATACATTTGAGAAAATTTTTATCAACTAACTTCATTTCGTTCGGAAGCTAGAGTGATTTCCACAGACGGATAGACGGACGGACATTGTTAAATCGAAAAAGAATTTTATGCTGATCAAGAATATATATACTTTGTGGGGTCTAAAATGCATATTTCGAGGTGTTACGAATGGAATGACAAACTTAATATACCCTCCATACAATGGTGGAGGGTATAGAAATGTGCGACAAAGATAGGGTTATATAGCCCAAGTCATGGTCAAATCTGTAACTTAATTTGAAATTCCAAATTAGATTTTGCCTTCAGCTAGATATACCTCAATTCAAATAATAATATCCAGCTCTGCATTTTCTGTAATTTACATTGGCAAGTATAACTTCATTTAAAAAAAGGTTCCCATCTCTAATTTATATACCCTTAGTCATATGGATATTGAAGGTTTTTATTATTTCATACGGCCAAAACGTGTCTCATCGAAGTAATAGTTTTAGACCCTAGGTCTCTTTGGACCAAATGCGTTTTAGGACATTTGGAATCCATCTAGAGGTGTCCGTCCGTCTGTTTGTCGGGATGGCTGGTGCACACTGTAAGTCTCGAAGAAAGTATCCAATTTGATTCAAACTTGGTACATCATAATATTCTTATCAAACTTAGATCGAGTTCGGAGATGGAGTTGATCGAAGATATCAGCCCATTCCTATTGGAACCTCTCCCACATAATGTCAAAATTTTCATAGAAACTAATTTACTGTATGGAACAAGGAAGGATCATCCATTTTAGTGTAAATTTAGCAAATCCTGATATTTGCATCAGTGCTAGGTCAGGTGCAAAAATGGACGATATCGCCCCAGTACATCAAGTATTCCCCACAAAGGGTTAACATTTGTATTAATTATAACCTTATAAAAAGAGAAATAGTACGATTATTTCAAATAATCCAATATTTTTATTAACCCGAGGTCTGGTGTGAAGATGGGATATATCGGATAACTCTTTCTGGTATCTCCCCCACAAAGGGTCAAAAATCGGAATAACATTGAAACTCATAAAACGCGAAATTAAAATCCGATTGCATTTAGACTTGGCACGTTCCAATATTTCCATCAATGCAAGATCTGTTGTGAAGATGAATCATGTTGGAGCACTCCTTCTAGTACCCACAAAGGGTCAACATTTTAAGTGTCCACGAAGCTCATTAAATGCGCAATAAGCATTCGATTCTATTCGAATTTCCCACATCCCCATATTTTTGATAATACAAGATCTTATGCGAAGATGGAATTTATCGGCTCACTTATTCTGGTACCTCCCCAAAAATGGATTAACATTTTGAATACTTATATCTCTCATAAAACGCGAAACAGACATCCACTTCTTTTCAAATTTCAAATAACTCATGTTCAGGTGCAAAAATTATAGATATTGGCCTAGCCTTCCAGGTACCTTCCCACAGTTATAACTATATATTTTATAAATTGCGAAAGAAGTCAGACATTTTCTTAAATATATTCTAAAAAAATATATTCTAAATATTTCTGTCAGCAAGAGCTCCCGTAACAAAATAATTTATTTGATGTAGATCATACCATCTATCAACATTTGGCTTTAGAGCAGTTAAAATTTGGTTTCAGGGGGAACTGATATATGGGAAGCATATCCAATTCTGAATCGAAGTTCACTAAATTTGACGTAGTCATTTTATTCTGGTATTGGCCATTATTTGCACAATAAACCTGAAATCGGATTAAGGATATATATGGGAGCTATGTCCAAATTTTAGCTGTTCTCAATAAATTTTGGCAAATGTATTTCCGAGATCTATAAGATATGTGGTATCAAAGACCGTTGTTGTGGAGTGCATATCACGAAAGTGAGGGATTTAAACATCAAATCGGAGGAAAAAAATATATATTCAAGCAAAAGCTATATCTGAACTTATTTCCACCAAATTTGATGCACTTGCTTTTACGCTTAATTCGGTTGGGAATGCCACAATAAACCTGAAATCGGATTTAGTATATATATTTCTGGGCTGTATTTGATATCAGGTACCAAAAACCATTGTAGTAGAGTGCATATTACGCAGGGACTTAAACACCAAATAGGATGAAACATATATATGGGAGCTATAGCCATAACTGAACCGATTTTCATTAAATCAGACGTACTTGCTTTTATACTCCATTCCATTTGCCGAAATTCAGTTCATTTGGACTGATATTGGTTATTTGATGCACAATTAACCCGAAATCGGTTAAATATATATGTGGGAGTTATATCTAAATTTGAATCGATTTTCAAAATTTTAGTAGAGTTCGTCTTTGGGCCAAAAAATATTGTTTGGAAAATTTCATCTTAATCGGATAACAAATGCGACCTGTATTTTGTTCACAAAAATACATCGACAGACGGACGGACGGAATGACATGCATAAATCGAATCAAAACGTGATTCTATGAAGATCCTCAAAAGAAACTATGGCTCTATCTCGCTTCCTTCTCCATGTTACAAACAAATGCATAAGGACATAATGCCCTTACCGCTGTGTGGTGTAGGGTATAAATAGAAATTGTGATTTTTTTACAATGCCATACTGAAGAAAAAATTCAAATTGCCTTTTTTATGTCCTCCACCAAAGCATGGAGGACATATTAGGTTTGTCTTTCCGTTTATAATACCTCGAAATATATATTTTAGACCCCCCCCCATATGTTATTGATCAGCATGAAATTCTATGTCGATTTAGTGATGTCCGCCCGTCTATCCTTCTGTTCGTCTGTGGAAATCACTCTAGCTTCCGAACGAAATGAAGTAGGTTGATAAAATTGTACTCATATGTATATTAAGTCTGCAGGACTTTTGGTATTTCAAATGGGCCATGTAGGTCCACGTCTACGTATAGTCCCCATATAACGGTACCTCCCGATATTCAGAATTTTGATGATTTTAGCGACATTATTTACCGGAATTTTTTCAAATTTGGTATTTGAAGTTCATAATAGATACTACAGAACAAAACAGAAAAGGCCCCCACATAACGGTACCTCCCGATATTCGGTATTTTGATGATTTTAGCGACA